GACAAAAAAAAAGGAGAAATATTATATAGACAAATTTGTTTATGCTTGATATGCATATGTTTGATTGTACTTATTTATATATTTGACTAACATATGTTTGTTGAGTTGCATTGGATTAAGATGCATAAATTGAAGGGGTGTTTTGCCATGCATTATTTAAGGGGGAGTTTTTCAAAATATTTTTCAAAATCTTAAATGTCTTAAAGAAAGTTTTTTATCAAGCAAATTTGTCTTTAAGTTTTGTCATATCAAAAAGAGAAAGATTGTTAGCTTTGAATTGATCCTTATTTTAAAATAACAAAACATTAAGCTCTATAAGCTTAATCAAGATTTTGAAAAAGATTTATTAAGTACATGTTCTGAAGTTTTATATTTTGGTACTAAATAAATAATATGATTTTCAAAGTTTAAACAAACATTTTTTTATGTTTTCTTATTTCTCAAATCAAAAGTATCTTTAAACCTTTTTTTATTTGAGCTTAAATGAAAGTTCACTTGTTGTTTTTAAAGTGAACTTATTCATTTTGGACTTAATACATTTTTTATAATAATTGGTTTTGAGAAATAGATTAACTTAAAAAAGTTATTTTACAAGAACAAAGTTTTCCAACATTGAATTTTTATTTTTTTTTGTATTAATTCATAAAGCTTTAAATATTTAAATTTTATATGGTTGAAAAGCTCTTTGAGTCTACTTCTAATGGATTAAATAAAATCACAATCCAAATTTTTTAAAAAAATATTTTGAATTTTTACTAGACACTTTGCAGTTGTTTAAAAACTGCATAAGGGGTAGATTTTAAAATTAGTTATAATTCGTACACAATGAATTAGGTGATAAATTTTATATGGATAGAAAGCCCTTTAAGTCTAGCTTCTAAATCTTCACACGATTTTTTATTTGGATTTGTATAACTAAAAATATAATCAAATTAGTAAGTAGAGTGCAAAATAGGAGACAACCATATAACTTTGACAAGATCAATCCCCTCATGAATTGGATCAATTGATTTTTTACTCAGAATGTAGGTTTGTGATCTAGTTGAATAAAAGATCGATCACCTTATGTAGGGGATTGATCACCCCCTTAAACCAATTGATACCCTCAAGGAAAGGATCCATCAAGTCGTGATTTTCAAAGGCATAAATGGCACCAAAACTTGAATCAATCTATCCCCTCATGGAAGGGATCGATTGGGTAGGCCTTGAAACAACTTCAATGGCTAGTTTATCAAGCTTCAATAGTTATTTTCTTATCCCAAGCTTCCTCAATAGCTAGTTCTTCAATTTCTCTATATATTGGTCACTCTAACACACTAAAAAGATTGATGAATCAAGAAAGCAATAACCAACAAGCTATATTTTCATTCTCTGAAAGAAATCAAAAGTTTTAGGGCTTTAAAGTCTATATTGTATTTATTGTATTCAAATCATATTTGTTATTCATTTATCATTTTATTGTACTTAAACTTAGCAAACACTTAGCCTTAGAGAGGTTGTTCTATTATTTGTAAAATTACATTTGATATATAAGACTGGAAAAGAATAAGAGGTGAGGTACCCTCTTGAAAACTTTGTAGTGAGATTAAGTAAAATACTATAAAGGATAGATATTTCTATCTTAAGGTTTAGAGAGAAAAAATAGGGTTGTATTTTCAATTCAAGATTAGTAGATTGAAGTCTTGGTGTGGATAACCAAGAAAAAAGGACATAAGTGACTTGTAGAGAAGAACTGAACTTTTGTAAATCGTTGGGTTTGATTTCTCTATCCCATCTTTCTATTTTCATTGTTGATTATATATACTTTTACATACATCAATTTATTGTTATTTGCATCATATTTTGATATTAGTTTTAATTTTCATTCAATTATTTTAAAATTATTGTTTGAGAAGAATTTGAAAAAATCCAATTCACCCTCTTCTTGGATCATTATCTCACCTAAAAAGCTAACAATAATTATTTTCAGAATCAATCGCTTACCACTATACCAAAAGCTATGGTTGATAATAAAGGCACGATTTTATTTCATTATTCTTTTTGGTAGCGTAGAATCTCGTACTAAGCGATAGGTGGATGTAAAAAGTTTCACAAAGCCTTCTTGGGATACCACACCTATTAGAATTTGATAGGTTAGGTTATCATACATCGAAATCTGATCCACCATGGGATACTTCACCTAGATGAACCAATATACCGAGTTTCTAAGGGAGACTGCTGGACCCTATAATCCAACAATCTCCCCTCCAACGGTATTTGCGGGACTTGAACCTACAACTTCTCTTTGATATCAATTTTCAAGACCAAACGCTTACCACTACACTAAAACCTATAGCTGATAGTGAAGGCGTAACTTTATTTTCTTTTTTTTTGTAGTGCGTAGTCCCGTACTAAGCGACAGATGGATATAAAAGGCTTCACAAAGCCTTCTTGAGATACCACACCTATTGGGCCTTGGCAAGTTGGATTGTCATATATCAAAATCTGATCCACCATGAGATACCTCACCCATATGAACCGACATATCGAATCTCTAGAGGAGACTGCTAGACCCTGTAATCCAACAACAACTAAATGGGTTAAATATAAAAAATAGTCTCTAAACTATGCACTTTTTATCAGTTTAATACCTAAATAAATAAAATTGTCAGTTTAATACTAAAACTTCTATTCTATCATCATTTTAGTACTTTGGACAAATCCGCTAGTCCACTTGTTGACGTAGTATAAACAATTAATAAAATGTTGAAACATGTAAAAAAGTCTAGTAAGTGCCTCATCATCAATTGCCATGTCAGCATTAAATAAAAAAGTCCAAATTTTTTTTTAAAATTCAAAAATATTTTAAAAATATTTTTTTTAAATCTAAAATAGTTTTAAAATCTAAAAAATTTAAAAACTATAAATTATTTTAAAATCATAAAAATTAAAAAATATGAAAACTTAAAAAATTGAAACAATATCAAAATTTTAATAAAATGTCCAAAAAATTTTGTTAAAATTAAAAAAGATTCACAAAAAACTTAAAAATTGAAAATAAAAAAAATCTAATATATTTTTTTAAATCTAAAAATTTATTAAAATAATCCTAACAATTTTTTAAATTTATGAAAAATTAAAAAATTCCTAAAATTGAATATTCTAAAAAACTATAAATAATTAAAATAATTTTGAAAAATAAAAAATTTAATAAAAATTCATAAAATATATTTAAAAAAGTAAAATTATAATATTAAAAAAATAAAAAATTTCATAATTAAAAAAATTTACAATTTTTAAGAAAAATTTTAAACTTTTCAAAAACATTTAGATTCTTTTTTTTTTTTTAAGTTTTTGTGAATTTTTAATGAATTTGAAGGAAATTTTCTTTTTATCAAAATTTTCTTTTTTTTATTTTTTAAGATTTTTTAAAATTTTTTGGGATTTTTAAATGAAAATTTTAAGTTTTTTTATTTTTTTATATTTTCATAATTTTTTAATTTTTTAAAAATATTTCAATTTTTAAATTTTTTCTATAATTTTTTAAAGGGTAAATTATATATATATACCTTGTAGTTAAATGCAATTTAAGTTTGTCCCTTAAGATTTAAAATATAACACGTAACTACCCTGTGATATTGTATTTTTACCCGAAATTGTTATTTTTTTCATTTTTTTTTCCTTCTTCTTCATCTTCAATTGATTCTCGCTTTTTCTAAGATCAGATGAATTTAGTAATTTACAAAAGCAATTTACAAAAGTTTATAGAAGCAAAGTCGGCATCACATAAACAAGCATAAACAACTTGCAATTAAGGAATTAAGCATCAAACAAACAAGCAATTTACAAAAGCAAAGTCAAAACCATAAGGCCATACCCAACTACCATACTTACAGAAGTCGAAAGCCAACAAACACAAATAACCAAATCGAGAGCTTTAGCCCATTAAACCTAGAAGGAAACCTAAACCTTACACCCAACCAATCCATAAACCCAATAATCTAGTAAATTCCAGAACTAGCTCCCCAAGATACAATTTCAAACAGCATAAATTTCATTCCCAAAAAGACACAAAACCTAGAATTTGCATCCAAGCAGATAAGCAAAAAAATTAAAAGTCTTAACCAAAAACAATGAACATAAACAAAAAAATAGCATTAGTAGGAACATCTAATAGCAAAATAAAAATTTTAGGTTTTGGCTTGAGATTGCTTTTTTATGTTTGTAAAAAAGAGCTTTTTGGTGATTTTGCGTTTGGTTGTCTTCGAATGTTTCATTTCAGACTAAAGAAAATGAGGCGTGCTGGTAGAAAAAATTGTAGCAACATAGAGGGTTCTCTAACTTTTTGGTTGGGATTTCTTTTTTTACTTTATGGTGGTGGTCACTAGTGACAAAGGATACCAACATCAATCGACCATGGTAGCGTAGTGGACGATGACGATGAGTTTCAACAGAATTTGGGATTTTGTTTTTTTCAATTCTAGAAAGAAAGCAAAGAACTTTTATAGAAAGAGAAAATTAATCTAATTTTAAAGAGAGAATAAATTGAAGATGAAGAAAAAGGAAAAAAAATTAAAAAAATGAAATGGAAAAAGTAATGATTTTAGGTAAAAAAATAATAAAATAAATCATAAGATCATTAAATATCACATTTTAAATCTCAAGAGTAAACTCAAATCACGTTTAACTATAAGGTGTATATATATATATATATTTGTAATTTATCTTTTTTAAAAAAATATTTTAAAATTTTTTTTAGAATTTTCTTTTAATATTGATGTGATAATTAATGATATAGTATTGATTGAACTTTTTAATATATTTTAATATTTTATTGGATGTTCATGTCACATCAATATAGTTAATTGACGACATTAGTCTTATTATTTTATATCCCAAAGTGGATGACAAAATCAAAGTTAAAGTACTAAATTGATAATATATTCTTTTAGGTACCAAATATATGATTCGAGAACTATTCTTATATGTAATCCTAACTAAATTTAGGCCCAATCGGACAAGTCAATTTGGGCTCATTGTGTGCATTTTTATAATGTAATTCGAAGCCTTTGAAATATGGGTTTCATTGGATCTGTCTGGTCATTGAAGGTCATGGCGTTTTCATCACCACGCGCCAGTTCTCTTCTTCTTGGCCATGGAAGATGCGCCAGATTCCTCTGCTCTTCTTCTTCATCATTTCCAGGTGGGTATTTATACTTTTATCTGTTTGCATTTTTGGGTTTGTTTTCCTTCTCATTTTTCGTTTCCTGTTTGGTTTATAACGTTTTAGTCAGTAAGTAAAGAATATCATCATGAAAAAAATTGCAGACCACATTAGTTTCATCAAAGAAGTGGCCGTAACTCGACCTCCTCAGCATCTTTCACAGCTATTAAAAATTCTCAATACAAGAGGTAAAAGTTCCATCTTAAAAAGTTCTGTATTTGAATTGGTTTTTGTGAGGGACGTATGAATGAAAATATTTGGTACTAAATTGCTAATAGAGTTTAACTTATCACCCATGAAAGAAAATTTTATTTAGGTTACTAAAAATTAAAGTTCATATGTGTGCATTTGTTGACTATCAGAGAAAGTGGGTTATTTGAATTGTCTACTTATTATTATAAAGGTGACAAATTTGATATTAAAATTTTTGAACTTTTAATTTTGGAAAGAAATGCTGGTTTTGATCCTATTTTAGAGAAAAAGTAGTATATTTGTGGTGATTGAAAACTCTTAGGGCTTATATTCTCCATATCTGGTGCATTGCAACAGGTGAATCAATTCTTTCTCCTGGAGCAAAGCAAGGGTTAATCCCGCTGGTAATTCCGCTAGCCAAAAGCAGCTCAGGTACTGATAAAGTGTTATCTATGTTTGGAATTGGCTATTTATAATAAATACTTAAGTTGAAGCTATTGTATGATTTTGTTGGTAATAGGTGCTATAACTGCATTGCTCAGGTGGCCAACTGCTCCTGCTGGGTGAGAAACTTCAAATGTCTGACCTTTTATAAGTGGTTAGTTCTCTCTAGCCTGATTGAGATTCCCCTTTTCCCTCAGGATGGAGATGCCAGTGGTGGAGGTTCGTAAACATGGAGTTTGGTTTTTGGCCAAGAATGTAAGTTTTGTGCTCGGCATGACATGGCCATGTCACCATTTCCCATGGCTAGGGTCCAAAGCTGGAATTTGATTGTATTGATATCTCGAATTTCAATTCTTCACCATGCTGACATACCTCCTGTACTTTGTAATCTCTCTCTCTCTCTCTCTCTCTCTCTCTCTCTCTCTCAAACAGGTGGACCAGTTCATACACAGAATCCTGGTTGAAGAAGAAGCCAATAGCCGCCAAAAAGGAAGTGATGAGTTATTCCATGCTGCATCTGATGCTGGGAAGAAATTTTATCAAAAGGGCGACTTTTCTAAATCAAAGATTACTGATTTAGATGTCTATCTTTTAAGAAAGGTATTTGCTAACAAAATTTGGGCTTAAGCATCCAACTTAAGACCAATTGGCTATAGGTGGAGAGATCCAACTTGAATGTAAGACCATAGGAAACTTAATATTTAACAAATGTGGTATAACACCAATTTAACTTGAAACTATATATTTTTTTCTATTATACTTCAATCAAATTTCAGTCATATGCCAAATTGTAATGATAAATTACTGTTTCAGGTTGGATTATTTCCTGATGTCCTAGAGCGCAAAGTGATTCAGCATTTTGAGAAAGGAGACCATGTAAGACTCCCTAACTGCCCTGTCTATTTTAAGCAGCATACTGCATGTAAGTTAACATTGTTTCTTTATATATCTCTACCTATGTGTAAAAGGTTTCAGCTTTGGTGACTGGAGAATTCTATGCAAGGAAAGAGCATTTTCCAGGATTTGCACGGCCTTTTGTTTTCAATGCAGAAGTTTTACTGAAGTAGTAGATACTCCAATTACTCTCTCTTTAGTTTATTCTGCTACGTTCAACTGACATGTTCTACTAAGGATCCTCATTGGCATTTTTTAGGGTTGGGCGTAATCCAGAAGCTAAAGATGCAGCAAGGGGAGCTTTAAAATCCCCATGGTGGACTCTGGGTTGCAATTACCATGTATGGGATCTATAGATAATCTTTTTTCATGATCTTTTTTCATTTTCCCTTTAAAATAATTCTCTTGTCATATTAAATAATTGCTTCCTCTGCAGGAAGTTGCTTGTATAGCAGAATGGGAGGATGAGCAAATTGAATATATAACAGAAAAATTGACAGAAGAGGGAAAGCAAGAAGATCTAAACAAGGGAAAGCCACCTGTGCAGGTTGCTAGTTATAACCTGTGATGTTTATTGATCTGACTATATACTAAAAGTGTATATTAACAACTTGTTTTTTTTTTTTTCTTCCCACTAATTTTCTTTTTGAGTATGATTCATCGCCTAAATGAAATCCACAGATCACATTGGATGAAGCTGCCTTTTTGTTGGATTTAGCTTCTGTGGAAGGGACTTGGGAGGACTCTTTGGAGCAGATTGCTGAATGTTACAAGAAGGCTGGACTCCATGATATTGCAAGATTTGTGCAATACAGAGACTAATTGCTGAGCATAAGAATTTAGTCTGCGATTTTTATATCTTCAATTTTGATGGTATTTTTTTCCTATTTAAAAATCTTAGGGTTTTTCTTTTCTTTTTTTCTTTTTTTTTTGCAATTACTGCATATGGAAATGGAAAATTTTGATTAGGGGATTCATTGGCCTCATGACTAGCATGAGCATGTTTTGCAACGGTTGGTCTTAATCACTAATAGAGAGGAAGATATATGATTTGGCCTTTTTCACCTTTTCCTTCCCATTTCAATCTGTAATGCCTATGTAACTGCTTTTGAACTGATAATGTTTATCTTCCATCTCTTACGAGTTCCTCCAAGTTGCATTTACCTTCAAAATATTTCGTGCTATCTCCTTATTATTCATAGAGTAAATGATGTTCAAAGCACATGGGAAACATGGCTGAGATAGCTTAAGGCAAATACTCTTCTTCAGTGATTAATGGTCATCACGATTTTTCTTTTAATTCACTAAATTCTGGGAAAACAACACATTTTTAAGTTGTTCTGTAATTATTAATAAGGACATGCTTAATTCAAATGTTTAACTATTCTGTAGAAAATCAGGGCACTCAGAATGAATCTGTAAAATAGCAAACCCGATAAATTCTTGGCTTTGACCGGGTTTCTGTCGTATATGCACCAGGACTACAAACAAGATACTCTCAAGCGAGCATCCAAAAGCCAGTCTTTTATTCATTCGAACTCAAACAAGAAAGTAAAACAAAAAGCAACAACCATGACAACTGTGCGAAAGCCCTGCCTCGTCACCACTTTCTTCTTTGTTTCAATGTCTATGGGTCAAATGGAAGGGGTGTTTTCTTGCTATTACTTTTAGTTTTTCTCCACAACAACTTTTTCCATAAACTCCCACCTTGGTTTTTGCTAGGAACAATTGCTAAAGATTTAACTGCAGCATTGTCTAGAGGTGCTATCATCCTGTTAGAAATGAAAGAAGAACTGGGATTGCCCTTCTCTTTGGCCTTAGAAGACTCAAGATTATTTGTTTCAGCATTATCTTCAGCTATCATCTGATCAAGTAGAGAGGATCTTTGGCTGATCAACTTCTTCATTGGAGGAGTTGGAATGGTAGTGGAAGTTGGAGTGGAGATGACCTTGTCAAAAAGGGCTGCTTCCTTTGGAGATGCCAACGCCTTCAACTGCTTTCCCAAGTTTAAAATAGTTTCTTGGCACTCAGCCAACTTTTCTGAAGCAGCTGTAATTTCCCAGTTCTGCCAGATTGACCAAGAGTCAACAACAATTTACATGTTATATTTAAAGCAAGGATTAATCTAATTGTCAATGTAGCATCAAAGCTTCCAGAGTCATTATGTAAAATGGAATTAAGTAAAATTATCTTGTGTACTTGTAACATCGTGATATGAACTTACAGCTGGTAACTGATTTCCTTCCAGCTTGACTTCAGACTTTGGTGTTTCCTTTTCTGCCACACTGAAGGCAACAAACATCAGCTGCATAAGACTATCAACAATGCAAAAAATAAAAAATAAAAATTGACCTTGATATTAGGTTCAGAAAGCAAAATTGATGTTACCTGTCAAGACACGTGGCCTCCAATTCTTCACGGCAATCATTTTTATTCTCTGATTCCAGGTCTTGAGATGGAAATTTTTGACAAGCTTCGCTTGTGTCAACTTTGGTCAAGGAAAGCTGTTTATCATGGTTTTCATTTATCAACTTCTGTTTTTCAACTTGATTTTCAGCCATTTCCTCAGTTTTTCTCAAAGTATCTAACTCTGCCTCCAAATTTGCAATGGTTTTTTCGGATTTCTCAAGTTGATTCAACAGAGAGTCACTCCTATTTGTTGTTGACTGGAGCTTATCTTCCAGATGTTTCTTTGCAGCTTCTATATTGATCAACTCATCTCTTAGTTTTCTATTTTCTTCTCTCACATTAGGCTCTTCTTTTTGAAGGAAATTATTATTGTCATATGGAGCAGCAAGGTGAAATTTATCTGCCTCTGCAAATTGACCAACTATTCCACTTTCTGCTTCACTTTCACTTCGTGATTCATCCCAGTCAAAATGCTTCTTAATTGCATCTCTCATGCTTGAAGTGTCTTGAAGGGAAAAGCAATGATTAATGATCCAGTCCAGAGCAGAAGTTAATTCTTGGGTAAATTTGTTGAGGTCTGTCTTTCCGTTCAACAGGTCATAACAAGCATGCACAAATTGCCGTAAAACATCACTGAGTTCGGAAGTTTTCCATTGGAAAACACGAACCATGTAGCCTGAGGGTGTTTCTGAGTGCTTGTATGAGAATGAATTCCTCTCCTTCTTGGACAAGGTATCTGGGATATTATAATCCGCTGATGGTAAGCCGATCCCTTCAATAAGCTCAATTATCCTGCAAATTGATTTACTCCAATCAGGGTGAAACTGCCGATTGCTCTTCTTTTCCAAGCAGATGTTAGCATCAGCATCCCTATTAGATGAATCCATCTTTGAAGAACCATTTGAAGGTTTCCATGAGATATAGCCACTAATACAAGAGGGATTAACCCTTTCATCAAGGATTTCACCAGCGTTTGAATGGCTAATGCAGGCCAAAGCTTTTCTAATATCCTCAAGTATTTCATCTGGGTTTCTTTGAGTTGCACGGTTTTGCTCTAAGATCACTTTCAGTATATTCTGAAGCCAACTAGGAACTTTGCTAGGCAATGGACTTTTGGACTTCATTTCATTATGCAACATGTTTTGGTCAGGCTGACTGTCAGGAACAGGTACTATCTCCGTGCACATTACCTCCAAGGAATTTCCACCTAACCCAGTTTGCAAGGGTCCAAGGGTCCCATTAGCTTCATCCGAAGAAACATGAGAACTTCCAGACAGTTTATCAACAGAGACTAAAGCTAATTTTTCCATTTCAACAAAGTCATCCATCAGATTTATTTCTGAAGATCCAACAGCTTTGCGTGATGACGACTTCCTTAATTGTCCATTCCTGAAATGCTCCAGTTCTGAAATTAAAGCAGAAGCCCAGGATTCTGCACAGCTGGCTTTATCATCGCTGCCAACATCAGACACTGATGCCAGAGAGATCTCATGTGACATTATACTGTTCCTGGTTGATTCATTGTTTGCCTGACTTTTTGATGATTCTTCAAGCTGTGACTCAACCTCCGATAATTTGGAAGCTGTGCGTGCATACATGACTCTTGAGAATTGAAGTTCATTCGTTTTCTTATTAAGGGCTTCCTTGAGAGCCTTATTTTCTTCTTCTATAGCACATAACTGCTCAGTTAGGATGTTAATCCTCTTGCTCGGGCTGTCTGAATAATTGTCAACTGTGAAATCGAGCCCTGCACCAGTGTGACCAGGATTCAACTTTCTCCTCATTTCAACAGAGTCCCTTCCCAGCATTTCAACTTCATTTTTCATCTTGGCCAATGCAGCAGGACCTGGCAATCTTTTCCGGACTAAGAGACGCAGCCTTTGACATTCTGATTCTAGCTTAGCAATTTTCTTCACACTTTCTAAATGTTGTTTGTGTGATGCATCAGCTGTTCGACGATTGAATTCTCTCTCCTCATTCCTGATCTCAAGTTCCTTCTCAAGCACTCGAACCTCATATTTCAGAGAAGCATTATCTTTCTCTGTGGATTCTAATCTTGTCATTAGTCCATTAAAATCTGTCTCCATCTGAGCCCTTTGCTTGTTTAAATCATCGATGGCCTTTTCCTTTGCCAAGAGAGCTTTAGTAAGCTTAGTATTCTCGATATCTAATTTGGTAAGCATTTTGCTAGTCTCTGCCAACTGCTCCTCTAAAATCTTCTGCGATTTCTCAAACTCATTTGAGGCCTTCATCACAGCATCATGAATCCTTTGTTCCTGCTCTTCTCGAACAAAGCGTAGTTGCTGAATGTATTCCTTGAGGGCCGTATCTAAATGAGTTAGCCTTTCTTCACATGCAACTCTCTGCTGCAAAGCTTCACCTAGTTCTTGCTTCAGAGAAACTGCTTCTGCTTCCGCCTTCTTCCTTGCTGCATATAATATGTTGATAAAAAGAAAAGTAGCTAAATGATCTATAGAATAAGAAAACTTAAAAAGCACATCATTAACTGACAGAAAACTCTAAAAGGAAAGCAAAAATATACCTGCAACAGCTTCCAATGCCATCTTTTCATGTTTCTTCACAAGTTCATCTTTGGTATTACAGTGAGAAAGTGCAGAAGAAAGCTTGTTATTTAAAATTCGCAGCTCATTCTCCAATTCTCCTTTATCAGCCACAAGAATCTGTATCTGGAGAAAAGGTAAAGAAACAAAATTACCCGTAAGACATTAGTGTAATCAAACTATTCCAAAGCAGAAAGTTTCCGAGAAAAGGCATCCTAATAGAGTCCAAGAATTTCACTCTAACTATTTCTCAGCACTTGCTTGGTCGTGCACCCATTTTTGCAGTTAAATATGGCCACTAAATTTCACTTGATGGAAAACCCAATTCAGCATCAGTCATAAGAAATTTGGAGTAAAAAAAAACGATTCTAATCTGAAACGCTTGTACTTGAACATCTCCTATGAATGTAGAGGAACTTTTTCAGATGCATATTCAGTGGAGGTATGTGGTTGTCAGAGAATAATTTGGCAAGTTTTCTTTATTACTTAGTTTTTTTTTTCTTCCCCATTAACATTTAGAACATTATCTACAACAGCAGAATCATTCGGCTGTTGAGCTGGGATCTTTTCTGGCTTTGTCTGAAGTGGTTTGATATCTTGGTGGATATCATTGAACTTAAAACGTATAAATATGTCTAATTTAGACCGAGCAGGCATCAACATAATCAATTTTCGAGAAAGTTTATTGCAAAAATAGTCAAACATTCATAATTTACCTCTTCTTCATTGTCTTTCTGGGAGAGGTTTAGTTTTTCAGTTGGAAGAATGATTTTCTCTGTTGATTTTTTCCTCCAAAGCCAGGTTTTGTGCTCCATTATTTCACCAGTCCCAGTCTCAACAACTCAAAGCTTTCAGTTTAAAACACCTGCATTTGAATTACATGAAAATACAAGAAGTTAAGATGTTGATCATCAGCCATTGGAGAAAATATTTGTTTCACATTAAAGGTTAAAAAAAAAAAAAAACATAAATTACAACAGGTAAATTTTGAAACACTCATTGCATGGATAACGGTCAAGCTACATACTTCCAAAAACTGCGAATTTTAAAGTACAAACATGAAAGCAAAATGTAATCTTAAGCAAAATATGAAAAGATTGAAAAAGAAAAACCTTAGTAGAACCAAAACAAACGTAAATCTGTTAAAAACAAAAAGTATAATGTCCTTTACCTTTGATGATGAGTGGAGTAGTAGTTTAAAACTGTGCATGGATCACCAAAGCAGAGAACAAAGAAGGAAAACAAAAACAAAAACTCTCAACTGTGGAAAAAACAGAGAGCTGAGCCAGAGGAAAACAGGGGAAATATGAATTAAATTAGAAATGTGGGGTGTTGGGAATTCCACCGACAGTGAGGAGTGGAACAAAGAAGAGGAAGGGAAAGAAGAAAGAGTGATGACGATGACGATGAGATGAGATAAACTAAGTAACATAAAAGAAAAGAGGGGGAGAGAGAAAGTGAGTGTGTTTGGTAAACAGGAAAAGTAAAATGTGGGAAAAGTGAAGTGAAGGTACTTGAAACTGTAGAGAGAAAAAGATAGGAAAGACTTGGCGTTTTGCGGGAGGAAGATCCCGTTTTGTTGGTTGATTGCTTTCATCAGACGGAGCGGAAGAGCGGTAGTCTTTGTCGATTTTTCCCTCAATTCCTTCCTTAGCTGTCAAAAAAATAAAAGGTAAAAAGTAAAAATATGCTCATTATTACCCCATTAAAGAAAAAAAAAAAGAGAAAACCTAGTAATAATTCTTTTTCTTGTTTTTTGGTATAATTGAGTTAGATAAAAGGTTCCTATGATTGTTTTCTGGTTTGATTTTTAGTGCTCTCGTATTGCTTTAAATTTGTTTATGTATCGAAATAAGTTAAATTCGGTCCAATTGAATTAAGTTCGATTATTTTTTTTTAATTTTGTTTTACAATCAATTTAATTTATCTAGTTTAAGTAATTTAAAATTTTTTAAAACATATTAAAATATTAAAATATACTCTTTAATGTATTTTTTAATTAAAATTAAATAAAAATATTTTTATTAATAATTTAATATTTTAAATCAAATTTAACTAAAAAATCTTTATCCAAAATACGGGCAGAATCGAACAAGATCCGTGGGTCGATCTAGTATGCTTAATGGCAGAAGCTATTAATATTTGTAAAAGATTAAAGCGAAGGAAATAGTGAAAAAGGAATAGGTCAAATAATTGCAAATGGTTGCGGAAAATTTCAATTACTAATATTTTATTAAGCTTTTTCAGGATTTATTTTTCCATATTTTAGTTGTGGCTTGAAACACCAAAAACATTTCCGTTGTTATTGTCCAAAGGTCTTGCTCGATTTACTTGATTGGTGCACTTACAATATGGTTGTCAATTAAAGTTTGAAGATAAGAATTTTCTTAAATACCCAATTATGAAGAAGAATCTTTAATGAAAATATTCATTAAACAATTTAATGTATCTTCTTCTAAGTGTAAATGCAACTACCCAACTCTCCACTCTTTGGCTTTCTTATTTTCCACTAGGTCTTAAAATGAAACTTGAGCTTGGGGTCGGGGTCGGGGTAGGTAAGATGTAAGGTTAAGGAAGGATTTTTCGTCTCAAAGTTAAAGACATTGTAAGTCTCAAAAATATATTAAAATTATAAATCATTCATTAAAAAATTATTTATAATAAAATTCGAATTTAAATTTTACATACGAAATATTTGATTTCATTAACATAACCAATCACAAATTAACAAGTGATTACATGCACTCGTCAAATTAATATTTATTAAAAAAATATAATTAATAAAGGACTCTAGGTCTTATAACATGTCATTTTAACTTAAACCCAAAAAGCTTAAAAACTATAATTAGAGTATCATTGCATCTTTCAAACCTCTTTTCCTTTTTGCTCTTCTATATTCAACCATTATCACTAATGCTTTGACATATATTCTTGCTTAAACCAGGTGCATACTTTATTATTTGTCTTTGGAATCTTTCTTAAGTTTCTTTAATTATGCACTAAACAACGATAGTGATTTTTGGTGGTCCCTTAATTGTCCCACCATCATTGTCAGGAACATCATTTGATTAATTCTTTTCTAAACAATGCATTCTTGCATTACACTCTGTTGGTTTGTCTGTTTTTCTGACCATAATCTCACCTAGTAATATGTTTCACTTTTTTTTTTTTAATTTAGTTTTGTTTTTTTCTGAGTATAATGTACAAAAACTTGCAAGTTGTCAAGCGTGGAATTGTATAACAAATAAATGATAAATTCTTTAGTGCACAACATTGATCATAGCTAGTCTACCTGTCAATCTTAGTTCTAAACATCACATTTTTATTCTTAATTTTTTAATTCAAATTTAAAAAAATTCATTCTATCAATTTAATGCTTATTTTTTTTTTTAACAATTCACACATAAGTTGTACATATTTTCCAATTGGTCAATGCCTTTTTTACTAGTCTTATGCATGCTAAATATATTTATACTGATGAGCCAATGAAGTTTTAACTTAATGGTAAAAAAGATACCTTATAATTTTGAAATTTAATTTAAATTTATTGTATATAAGTTCGATTCAATTTTATGTTAGATTTATATAGTAATATTTTAATTTGTTTATTAGATTATTGAATGATTTTTTTATATATAAATATAATATTTGATTATAATTATAACTTGTACTTGTAATTTTATAAAAAAAATATGTGAATGAAATAAATAAATAATTAAATATTTATAAAATAGTAAAGAAATTAAAATGGTCACTTTATATTTAGTATAAATAAAACTTCTTTTGATTAATATTTTTATTTTTTATTTAATTAATATTAATGATTTGAAAATAAAACTTCCGAGCTTAATTTGATTCATGATTTGTTTTATACAGATTGAAATTTTAAAGAAAAAAAAATACAACGGTTTCAATTAAAGACAAATTTGAGTGCATCTTATTAGGAACCAAGCGTGTAGAACTGTGTTTTGACAAAATAGAATTTTTTGGATGGTAAAAAAAATGTGAGAAAAAAAAAAGCGTTAGAATTGACAAAACAACAAAAGCGAGAGTGTGATGTAAAATCAAAATCTGATTTGTGGGCTAAGGCGTTGGGCTCCGTATGGCTTGCAGGACATGGTTGCTGCAGACAGCAGAACAAGGCATGGCAACTCATTCTCCCTTCCTTGAATGCCGTATTTAACTCTGTTACCAAACCCCTACTTTTCTCTTTATAGAGAGTAACGCAAAAGGAGTAAAAAGTCTCAATTCTCTTTAACATTTGAGGCCCACTTTTTCTTTTTTGGTCTCAAAAAGGACAAAATGAAGGAAACGTCAATCGTTGCTCCTTCACATCTGTTAGCGTTGGTACTTTGGTTTTGTTCCTTTTTTTCATTGTGCATTTCTTTCTCATTTTTTTTCTTTGTTTCCTTTACTTAGGCCTCAAGTATATATGTTGTTAATTGTCTCTTTATCAAGAATTTAAACAACTGCAACAGTGGATTTCTGTTGGGAGATTTAGATCATATGCATTTAATCATAGTTTTTTTTTTTTTTGAAAATTTTCGTATGCAGTGGACAATAATATTTTTTGAATTAAAAGTTATTCTTTTATTATTTCAGAAAGCAATGACGAAAATATTTACTTTAATTTTTGATAATATTTTAATTTACACTGATGATATCTTATTATTTTCTCTAAATGTCACATCTCATACACAGCTATTAAATAAATTTTAACAGATTATTCAACAGTATAGGATAATGCTCTCAGAAAAAAGGATGATAATTGGTGCCTCAAAAATTAATTTTTTAAGCATGCATCTAAAAGATGGACAGTACATAGCTTAACCCCACATAGCTCAGACACTTACAGATTTTTTCTGATGAAAATATTTCAAAGAAGCAAGGACAACAATTCCTTGGTGTAGTCAATTCTATGAGTGAATTCTTTCCAGATCTTACACAGCTAACTCATCATCTCAAATAGATGCTCAAGAAATAACCACCCATGTAGTCCCATAAGCAAACAAATACAGTACAAACCTTGAAGATAAAAGCAAAGTCACTTCCAACTTTAAAGATTCTGTAGACAGATGCAAGTAAACAATTGCAAGTAAACAGTTTTGGTCAGCAGTTTTTAATCTAAAAGGTATTACTGTCCAGTGGAAATTATGTTGAAGAATGCAAAACGTTGTTTTGTATCTGTCCTGTAGATGTATACCTAATTACTAAAATCTTGTTTTGAGGTCAAACTTTGAAAAGACTTTTGCATTTGTCAATTTTGCAAACAAGTTTTTCTGTCTAGAAGAAAAAACTTATCATCTGCAAGAAAAATATTAAGAGGTTTGTAATTAATCACCAATCTTAATTTTTTATGAACTTATTCAGAACGTTTGTTGACATAAAATGCTTCACCAGAGCTCAGAATTAAAGCTGTCAGTTATCAAAACCTTGGCACTACTACCTGCTGCTGTGTAAGAAATGGTATTAGAGCTAGCTAGCTTGCCAAGATAACGAGAAGAAAATATGTTTCTAATTCTTGATTATTGAAGTTGAATAGGAAAAGTCAAAAGAAAGTCTTACTTTTATGAATTAATCAACTACCAGTAATTTTAGTTCTCAACCTCTTCTTCTAGATCTTTTTTTAGTCTATTTTCTCATCATTTTTCTGTACTTAAAAAGTCTTCATCTTTTAAGTTAAAGTTATTATATGAAGTAGATTATATCCCAAAAAAACAAATTCAACAAACAGTTCTTCCCCTTGTAAATCCTTATACGACTTTCTTAAACTCCTCTCCTTCTCTTACTAGATCTTTAAAAACTCATTTAAAACCAAAATATTAAGCTCCAAAAAAATATGTTCAAGCCACAAACTTTGATCAATGTATTCTTTCAGCAAGACCTTAAGAGTATTTTGTTACTTTTCAGATCCCAGAAGAAATTTCTCAACAGTGATCAAAACAATAATACACTCATATCCACTTTGATGCTATTAAAATAGCCTTAAACTTTTACGGCATAAATGGTATTCCTGTATGTACCATAATGACTTTATTGGACATATGATTCAAAGAATACAAACATGCAGTCTTTGGTATAGTTGAGATAACACTTACTATAGGAACTGTCTTCTTCATAGTCTTCTCAAATTATAATATGTCTCTTCATGATACAATACTATTAGATGTTTTAAAAGTTCAAGTCCAAATCGTAGCACAGAGATGAAATGACTCCAGGTAACCTTTTACTACCAGATGGCATATAGAGTTCAAGACCATGATATTAACTTGCCTCTTTTTCACTTTAGTGATGCTGTATTTGTCAAAATAGAAGCAGCAGATAGGACTCCTAAACATGTTCATATTCCAAAGCAAATCTCAAATGAATAACTTGCCACCATTCTCTCAAAAATATAGACGACAAGTTATCAAAAAATTTGGAAGTAAGATGAACTAATTCAACACTTTGATCCAACCTACAAGACAAATCAAAATAGTACTGTCACAATTGAGTTTGACCACAGTAAAAGAAAGGATGTTCCTCTTCCAATAATCTTTTCAACACAATTCATGATGCAAATATGTCAAGCTGATCCCCTTGAAGTTTCAGTCACACACTTTTAGTCTAATGAAAATCTCGTATATGCATACAAATCTCACAAAGACATTATTATCGGGACATAAATTGTAAATACAAAGAATGCCAGATAGATGCGTACAGAAGCTTATTGGATGATGATGATGATGATATTCCAAAAAAATAAAAAAAAATCTTCCCAACAAAAACTCAAAGAAAGATATGAGAATGAAGATCTTGAAGTTCATCTCCTTAGTAAACTCTCAGGAAAGTTTGACTACTATGTCATCTATCCTAAAAAGAAAAAACAACTCCCTCAAACTGGCCCAAACCAAATCACATAAAAACCAGATTCCACCAAACCTTTACCTTAAAATTTCATGATGCAACCAAACTACCCAAGTTCATATTTCTCTCATTTTCAAGAGTTTCATAAAGACTAATACAAACATATTCCAAAAATCTCAAATCCCACTGACAGAGATGAATATGAGAACCAAAAAATTATTTCTCGTGTTGAAAATCTTTCAAAGAAGCAAGTACAATAATTCTTTGGCATAGTCAGTTATATGAGTGAATTCCTCTCAGTCTTGCATAGCTAACTTATCTTCTTAGACAGATGCTCAAGAAAGAACCAGTCACATGGTCTCACAAGCAGACAAATGCAGTATAAACCTTGAAGATAAAAACAAAGTCACTTTTAACTTTAAAGATTTCTTCAGATGAAAAAAAGATACTGCAGACAGATGCAAGTGAACAATTTTGGTGAACAATTCTTTTGGAAGAAAAAGATAGAATCAGACAAATCTGTGGATACAAAAGTAAAAATTTTAAAGATTTGAAATTCATTATCACTTTATACTAAAAAAAATTTTAATTGTAAAGTATGAAATTCAAAGATTTGAATTTCACTTTATTGGATATTATTTTCTTGTGAAATTAGATGTGTCAGTCTTTGATCAGATGCTTAATTTAAAAAAAAAACAGATGTCAAATGCTCAATTACTCAGGTTATCACAGTGGTTCTCCCAATACTCATTTACCACATTATATATAAAAGGTAAAGATAACCTCGTTCCAGATATGCTTACAAGACCACCTCCAAAACTTCTTTCAAACACTTTACAGATCATTCCAGTTATTGGCATGATAACTTTTTACCTTTACCTTTACCCTCTTTTGATCTTATTCCTTAAACGGTAACCAATCCTTTTCTCTATACTTACCTTTACAACCCAAAATACAAATCTTTTGTTCTAGATCCAAATTTCTAACCAATTTTCCCAGTTCATAACCTTCCTCATGAAATTTAGCAGATCATTACCAAAAAGATAATTAAAAAACATGCTCATGATCTTATTTATAAGATGCAAAAGATCCATAATATTATGATAACTGTAGAGCATACTCAACTTGTATCACTGTAAACTATGAAATAACTTGAAGAGAACATGAAACTAAAACTTTAATTATGAAAAAGAGAGAATGAATTACTAAAAGAGAAGAGAGATTTTTTAAAAAATTGAAAACAATTTAAATTTAAAAAATCAAAAAATCAAATCACTGAATTTGATTTGATTTGATTTGGTTATTAAAACTATTCTATTTAGATTTTGTAAAAAAAAAATATTGCATGTTAAATCAATTTATAAAGTCAAATAAAAACAAATCGCTATCACTAAAAAATTAAAGAGATCTAGAAAAAAAATGTTAAGAAAAATTTTATTTGTCATTATTTATCCCTCACCACTAGTTCAAAAGAAAATCCCGACTGTTCTTGATAAAGTAGAACACAACAATTTGCAATGGCAAACATATAAAAAAAATAGCAAAACTTGGATAAAATTCCTTAAATTCATCAAGCTTCCATTGAAAAGATTGAGCATTCATAACCCAATCTTGAAGGAAAAAGATTGTAAAGTACACGAGCCCATATGCTTGAAAGGCTCAAACCCAGTATATAACAAGTAAAGGTTATTGGACCAATAGGAGCCATCCAAGTGGCCAGAATTTTTAGCGATTTGTTTTATCTAGGTTTCTAGGCATACCTATTAAGGACTGAAATTTCATGGGCCTAATGAGCTTCGTCAAGGGTGAACTCGACAAACGAGACGCCCGAGTCTCCGCAATTTCAATCTGGTTTGGAGTCGTTCCAACTTCGAAGGTTCGACTATCACCGCCATCATCTCTCCCTCCCTCTTTTGTCGGAACGAGATATCCTATTATTTGTTCATCGAAGACGACGAACAATTTCGTGAACCAATGGTAAAAACCAGACAACAAAAATCCAAATCCAAACCCAAACCCAAGAAACAACATCCCCATGTAAGTTTTTGTTTTTTTTTTTCAATTCAGTTTATATGTTGGTTTTATGTCTGTAATAATTAATTTATTATTAGAATAAAGAATTTTATGGATAAATTATGAAATACATGTGGAGCAATGCACTTTAAATTTTGCTTTAGAGATCAATGTCTGATAATAAAAAGTAAGGGACAGATAAAACATGGGAATTTTTTTTTTATTGCATATTCAATTAAGGATGCCACTGGTAGACTATCAAACAGAAATATGAAATGAAAGTTCAATTTAATGCTTTTAGTAGTTGTTGTTTCTTCATACTGCAAAATTAACAAACCTTGATCTGTTTGATGGACAGGTAAAAAAGCAGGGAAAGCAGACAGATATTTCTCAGTTTTGTGCCCAACTTGATGCATTGGGCCTAAAAATCATCCAAGTGACTGCAGATGGTAATTGTTTCTTCAGGTTTGTGTCTTTTGGATTCTACTTTTTCTCCTCTTATTCTTTTGATAATGCTTTTGCGATGTATTTTGTGGTGTTTATGTCATTTGAATTATTAAATCTGATTTCTGTTCTTCATCATCATTGTAATTGCTTTGTCTTAAAGGTGCACATTTTCTTTGATATTGTTGAAGTTGTTCACTCTTGTTAGTTAGCAGGGCTCTTGCTGATCAGTTGGAAGGTGATGAGGAGGAACATGGAAAATATCGCAGCATGGTGGTGCAATATATAGTGGTAATTGATGATGTTAAAGGAGAAAAGGCTTGGTTATTGTTTTTGTTATAGTTTAATTAAGAATCTTCTAGTCTCTTTGGTGAGTTATGAAATTTTATTTTTTTTGTTACCACAGTGCATCAAATGTAATTGATGTACCGAAAAGTATATTATAGCTGTGTTCTTATTATCAACAATGAGAATGGAAACAAGTACTATAGTGTGTTGAAAATCGTAAGATAAGGCTAATGAACTTAGAATCTCAGAGTTAGATAGTTAGACTTACTGGGGAAAAAAAAAAGAACTAGGGTTATCTATATTACATGCCCCTCTAGAGGCTTCACACAAACTAACTTGACAACTTATTATTAATCAATGAATAGGGTATTTATTCTAGCACACAAAAAGGACTGGACTAGCGAGTACATAAAATTCCACATGCATTGAACAACCTAAATGTGGAAAAAATAGATAACCCAGTTTTGCCTAATTGGCTGAATGTGGCATGATCTGCCATATTTTAACTCTCCTTTTTTTACAGTAAATTAGAAGGATAGCTAATTTGTCTTTACTTAGTTATTGTTTCACAAACTTTATTGCTTGCTTGGATGGTTGGATGATTTACGATTTATTCCTCATCTTTTTTTTCCCTCTCTCCCCCTGCATGCCTCTTCCATCTTTTCCTCTTCTTGAAGATCCAACTTGTAGACAAATCTCACTTTGTACCTGATATTAACAGAAGAACCGTGAAATGTTTGAACCATTTATTGAGGACGATGTCCCATTTGATGAATACTGTCAGTCCATGGAAAAGGATGGTACATGGGCTGGACATATGGAACTTCAGGCTGCTTCCCTTGTTACTCGCAGAAATATATGCATACACCGGGTAAGATCTTATCTTTTCCTGTCTTCTAAGGTTAGCCTTGGGCATTGTGGAATTCATCTCTCATGCTATACATTGTTTATAGAACATGTCACCTCGCTGGTACATAAAGAATTTTGACAACCATCGGGCTCGCATGGTCCATTTGTGAGTGTTATAGAATCTTTTCTTGTTTACACTGTCCAATTAGCTTTTACATTCTCTGATTATCGTCTATAGTTTCAGTTCTGCTGTATGATTTGCAAATGTTTTTCAGATCATATCATGATGAGGAGCACTACAATAGTGTAAGATTAAAGGAGGACCCTTGTAATGGGCCAGCAATGCCAATTATAATTAAGGTTTTTTTATGGTTTTTCAATGTGATTATTATTGTTTTTATTCCGCTCTTAAGTCGGAATGTCTAAATTGGTAAAGAATGCCTAATAACTTCTAGTTTGTCAAAAGGTGGATGCTGATATCTCAACATCATCTAATCAAGCAAAAGCTGCTGTTATTAAGCCAAAGGGGGCAGCTGGTAAGGACAGTATCAACACAGGATCAATCAAATTGGTAATGGCTGGAAGTGGTTGTGAAAGTGCTGAAAAAGTTGAAGAGGTGATGAATTGAGCATGTTTCTCTAAGTTATGGACTCAAAGTCCCTTATTTTCCATACTCAGGAGTCATGTCATGCATGGAATTGTTTTTCCTTACTTTGCCTCACTCATACTTCTTCAGATTTTGCTACAAGTAGATGGTGATGTTGATGCTGCTACGGAGTTCCTGTTAGCAGAACAAGGAACTGAAGAATACACAGCTGCTAATGATTCAGTTACATGTCATGCAGATGGTTCTTATGGTAATGGCCGGTCAGTATATATGCACATTCTAGATATTCTTTTGTTAGAGTTCTCCTTACATTTGATATTTCCTTTTCTTCTTTATAATGAAAATTCCATTTTATTGTAACATTTTATGGAGATTTTTTGGGTTAGTAAGACAGTTGATGAGATTAGAAAGATCATTACTAGATGAAATATGAAAAACCTACTCTAGTAATGTGTATGGCTCCTAGGTTGGGAAAATGCGGTGGCACCAATTGTCTCTGACACCCCCATTCAGGACCATCCTTGCCTGCTTTAGAAGATTTATGAGTCTGTTTTATGTGAAGATTTTCATGGAAGACTTGAGGAGTAAAGGTTTTCTTTTTTTTACTTAAAATGGAACTGAAATTAAAACCATTATATGATTTTTGTTGCATTCCTCCTTTGCATTTAACATTTGCAATTGGTTTCTTAATTATTAAAAACAGGAAGATGGACATATTTTCGTTATCTCTGTTAAATCTGATTCATTTTGTTTGACGTCTGCTTGACATTGGTTGAGTTCACTATGCTTCTGCTTTCTATGATGTTTAAAGAGATTATATTTCAACATATATGGTACTTATCTCTTTTTAAATAGGATATCCAGGTAATGGTGAACATGCAAACAGTGAACACAAGGAAGAACCTGCAAAGAAGACATTTGAACAGGATCGATCCTGTGATAGCATTAAAACCCTTGGTGATGGCAGTTCTCGGTCAGATGAAAAGGTTTATACTATAATGAAAATAAGAAACATTTTCCCTTTTTTAAAAACATGGTTTTAAAATATGATTCTCACTCTTTTTCCTCTTTTCCAAACTGCAGAAGATCGCAAGAAACCAGCCATGCCCTTGTGGGTCAAAGAAAAAATACAAGGCTTGTTGTGGATCAGTCATGGGGAGGCCCTCGACTAAGCTTATAGTGTATGCTACCTGAACTCTATTTTGCTTTTGGATCTATTTATGCTATTTAAGCTAAACGCAATATGTACTAGTTCTGCACTTGTACTACTCAAATTCAACTGAACACCAGTTAGCAGGGGACATTCTTTGTAGAGTATGACAAGGGTACAGCATGCATTCTGTTAATCTTGATATGATCAGAGCTTGAGTTATTCTCTCTTATTTTTTGTTTAGTTTAGATTCCTTTGTTGAGTGTCAAGTTTCTTAAAATCTGACTTGTAGGAAAGATGTTAACAACTCCTAAGAAGAAAGAGCTCATTATTTTCCAATGTTATGTTTTGCTGTTTAGGAACCAAACAACAGATGCTAGAAAGGGTAGAAAGGAGTGGAAACAAGGCAAGACGGGAGCATCTGCTAAAGCTGCAGCATCCTCTGGATCTGATGGAGGGCCGCCTGATATGGGTGCATTGTGCATATGATCTTGTTATCATGTGAGTGCTTATGCTGCAATTATTATACTCAATGATTTTCTATATTATGTGAGTAGATGCATGTATGCAAGATATTTCTTCTTTCTAATCTTCCAATGAAATTTGATTTTCATTTTACCAGATGAAGAAATTGATTGTGCCAAGAAAGAGCACTTATGAAAGAGAAATGTAAGCCATCTTAGAAAGATGCATCTTGCTGATTATTTTGATTTCCCTTTGTAGGTCTACTTTGTGCCATAGACTTGATCTTGTACGCACATGCTTCCAATTTGCTTACAACTGTCAGACAAGGACTTCTGCTGGCAGCCTCTGCAAAATGAATCTTTGTACTCAAGTAATGACCTCAGTTTGATGCTCATTCTTTATTCTCATGATTCTTTATCACATCAAAATGTTAGCAGGACAAACAGCTTCTGATTTTCAACTCTAGTTTTATTTTGAGATTCCTTGTAAACAGCACCACGGTTTTTCTTTTGGCAAAAACTGAGATTATACAACACAGAATGATGATGATGAAAAGAGAAGGAATAGAAATGGTAAACATTTTTGTTTAAATATATTTCAATATTGTTTAAAATTTGATTAAGCTTTTCAAAATACGAGGCTTTGGCAATTTCGAGTGTCAATGGCAAACCCCATGGTGATGAGAAACATTCGCTTCTTGTAGAAGCATTGAAGCTTTTCAATCTGAGGGAGACTTCTTTTGAGCTGAAAGCCCGCTAATTTGTTGGAAACCAGAAAAGGGAAAAATGACGCTTCAAACTTAAAAGATAATTTGTTGGATATGCTTAAATCTTTCATTTCTTCAAAGTTGCATGAATTGAGACAAACTAAGTCCATTTCTCGTGCCAACTTGGCCTGTCACTTGGGTCTTACAGGGCTTTGAGGAAACTTGTTCATGGAGCTTGCTTGAAGACTGACTGATGAGTTGAAAGTCAATGCTTAATTTGGCTTAACAAATAGACAATATCTATAATCAGAAAGTTGGTAAAGGCTCAAAAGCTTTGCTTTGATCGTTACGATTCTCCTATTAAGGAAAAGGGTTCAGTGCTCTTTTTTTTTAATATATATATATATATATATATTTGAAATTATCAATATTCTTGGTTAATGAAACTAAGGGTTTAACATTTTAACAACGGATTATATATCATCAGTGCAATTTAATTTAAAACGTTTTAAACCAACCTATTTGCTTATCTTAGAAAAGGGTTTCCAAAGTTTCTATTTCTTAGGCGGTTGCTTTTTGCCATTGCCATGATATTTACTCACCCCTTTTTTAGTGAAAACTGAAAAGCACCCATTGGGAAATAAAGCAAAGTCTTTCTTGCCTAAATTGGAAACTCGTATCAACCTTTCTTTGTCCCCCGAAGTGGAAATTATCATTTTCCGCGTGTGATTAGACAATTTTGACAAAGCACCATGATAATTGGCACCAATGCCAGTCACATCCCCATCACGCACTCAATCTATAGGTGGAAGTATCTCCGATAACCGGGAACTCTAGATAAAATATTACTTTATGTTTTTATCTTATACCACATACTTTAATTTAGGTGTTACATGCAATAAAAATTATATTTAATAGTTTTAAATTTCAATTTTTAATATATATATATATAATTTTTATTATCACTGGATTACAATTTTCTTTGTAAAAAGAATCTATAATTGATTTCATTAATATCATTTTTCAGCTTCATCCTTTTTTTTTTTTTTTTTTTCAGTTTGAACCATAGTAGGATGTAGTTTATGAAACAAATATAGCATGGGGAATTAACCTGTAAATCAATTCAGAGGAAACTGCAAGACAACTGGATCGTTTTCTTTCTTATGCCTCTTTTTGCGTGGATTCCCTCACCAATCATAGAACTTTCACGTGACGCACATTTTCATCCTCTATTTTCATTGCTGACCAACCCTAAACTCAAGTAAGAATAATTTGTACCAAAAATAAAGTAAGCCAACCCCCACGTACAAGCAAGGAAAAGAACATTTTTAATTAGTTAAGGAGATTTCTAAATAAATATATGTACTCACAAACATGTAATTATTTTCCTTGGAGCAATAAATCTTATATTATATTTAAAGAGAAAACCCTCTCTTTGATACGTTAAAAATTTTACTTTCGAAATCATTTTTAATTTTCACAAAAATCAAACTCTGACTAACAAGACAATGAAAAAAAAAGAATTTTTTTATCAATTAAAATAAGTCTTATACGTTATATAATTCATATATATAATTCGTTTAAAATAACTCTTAATTAGCTACCAAATCAAAAGTTGAACTTAATACTTTTACAATGATCCGAATTTCTTCATGAAATAAGGGGGGAAATGAGACAGAAAGAGAGGTACAAACCTAACAAGAGTACTTATGATCATTTCATTCCCATTAATACCACCAAATGGGAAACGAATGGCTAAGGATGATTGGGTTTGTCGTGGCCACTTTCAAACCTCACAACACACAATCGTTCCAAACTAGGAAAGGCTCTAAACAATAATCTTTAATAATTGAAATTATAACAAAACAAAGTTCCTATATTCCAATTTATACATTATTTTTTTCTTTCCCTGTTGTCCCACTTGCCTTGTCCTTTGACAGGTTCAGTGACAATAATACCACGTGCTTACAAGCCTATAACATTCAATGAGCTTGTACTCAGAAAACCCCACCATTGATGCTACTCTGAAAGCTCAGAGATTTATTAGATTTCATTTCATTTGATTTTGTTTCATTCATTCCAATTATTTGTATGAAAAAAAAATTGTATATATCAAGCTATTGCATGGTTATTGGTCAGCAAATTTCATATGATTAATTTAATAAGTTTATGTTGTTGTTTATTTGACCTTGCAAAGGTTGCTTTTCTTTTTTGTTGCTTTCTTTTCACTGAAAAAGTTGAAAATAACAGCCATACAAACAATGAAATTGGAAATCAACAAATATTATATATATATATATATATATATATTCTTATGTCAAAATTTGAGGCTCCAATACTAGGATTTTTTATATAAAAGAGTTATAAGTGTTAAATATGGGATTTAAAATTTAAACATGTTAGATATTATTTTTTAAAAATAATTATATAATTTAATTGAATTAGATTTTAATTTTTTTATATTTTGAGAAATATATGCTTAATTAGAGGTTAGGAAAACTAAGCAATGTATATAATCCAAAGCAAATAATGTAAAATTCTAATCTAGAATTCGAGTGCTAACTCGCTATTTGTTCATATTTGTAACAAATTAGCTAATTTTCATATGCGTAATTTGTAATGTTGCTTGATGCTTAACTATATAATTAATGTACAAAAAATTGTACTTAATTAAATTCTAGTTTAATTTTAACACTTGAGTTCGGTAAAAAGTCAACAAAAACCGGATTAAATTTGTTTTAGAGTTTATTTTATTATCCAAAATTTCTTTGAAAATTGATGAATTTGAAGCTCTGATCACTTAGTTCTACATTAAAAATCATAGCATAAAGCAAATGCATAATTTTGTTAAATTTTTACTATGTTTATTAAATATCAAAATTATGTACTTCTGCTGTCCCAAATTATAATATTAACTTAAAAAAAAAGCTTTGACCTAGTGTATATAATATTAAAATTTTAATATTTTTATAAAATTAATATACCATGATTTTTAATTTCAAAAATAAAAAATATGAAAATTAATTTTAAACCATAAAGATGTAAGAGTTTTAATTATTAAAAGAAAAAAATAATTTTAAAACATAAAAATTAAAAAAAATTGAAATAAGGGAGTTTCTAACACTACAATTTATTTTCAATTGATTAAAGGATAAAGATTAAACAAAACACTTTACCATTTCACGATTGTAACTTAATTTTGCAAGAAAAAAGTTAATTGTGTACGGAAAATATTAAAATGAAAAACCCATATATATTTTTCTCTAAAATAGCAAAGAAGTCTTAGTTGATTAAAATCATTATTCATTTATGGCAATACATAAAAAAGAAAAGAAATTCATGTTGGCATCCAAATTTTGTTGAAAAAAGGGGACCACGACAGCAAGCTAGCCTGCCTTCTATTTCTAGGTATTGTACTAATCAACAGGGCTTTCATTTTCTCATCAGTGGTCCAACTCCTTAACGTAAGTCCAAGGAAAAGAATATTAACCTTTTCTATTTCAATTAAAATCCTGAGCTGTAGATACCTAGTTTCATTAATTGTAATTTCTTTATATTTTTATAATATATAGTCAGGAGTCTTTATATCTTGACTTACTGTAATCTATTCTATAAGCAATTCTAAAGACAAGCTCCTCGAATTTCGAATCTGTGTCATAATTTTATTTTAAGAATATTTTTTATAAGAATTGAATTTTATTAAAATTTTTTTCTTTTTTTGTTAATTAAATTAATCTTTGCGTGTGAGTCCAATTTATTTAAATTAATTAAAACATGAACAAGATTACAATTTATGGCCGAAAAAGAGTTATCAACGAACCAAAAATTGTTAGGTTGTGAAAGGAACTTGACATTAATGTAGTTACAGTGAAAAAGGATAAAATAATGTAGGTTTAGAAAAGACCAGGGTTAAGAGACAGTAAATTTAACCAGTAATTTTCTTTTTCTTAGGGGCAATGTTTCTTTGTATCAATGGTTGGCGAGAAGAGATCGTTAATTGTTTTGCAACACGTGGCAATAAGAAAGAGCCATGCCATGATTTCCTTGTAAACCCCCCCCCCTTCTCAAAAAATGGGGTTTTGAGCCCATTTATTGTTGTTTTATATCAATTGCCCCCATGAAAATATCTTCCACACAGAAAATATCTTTTAATTATGCATTTTCTCTATATTACCACCTAAAAAATTTAAAATATCTTTATTTATATTGTTGCTATATGGAAGATTTTTGTTTTCTTTTTTTTTTTTTGCAAAGATTTTTGTTTCATTGCTAGTAAACATTTCTCATTTCTCTTGAGACCTCCTTTTTGTATTCATATTTTGGTAAGATGAAAATAAGAGATTGTACAGTGCCGAATTATCATTTGAAGTAGATTGTTTATAGATATTTTCAAAAATTAAAAAATACAATAATTTTTGTTTAAACATTTTCTTAAATTTTTTATAAATATTTTTTTGTCAATAAAATTAATAAATTTATTGACAATTATATATATATATATCTCGTAAAAAAATCTAAAATAACCATTAAAACTACATCTTAAGAAGGTGTTTAATTTGTGAAATATTAAATTTTGGAGAAAAGTGTAATTTTTAAAAAAGTGCGATACCCACAATTTTTTTTTTAATTTTTAAGGTATTTCTGTTCAAATTCACTCGTTTTGTTAGATTGAATTCACATATATTAATTTTTAAATAATTATCATAATATCTTTTACATATATGATTGTAACTTTTTATTAGTTTTTATTAATAATAAATACCTAAACGACAAACAATGCATTTAATAGCAAAAAAAGATAAATATTTTATTTAATTACTGTTTTTATTTATAAAATACCATTAATAAAAAATATTGGAGATTATTTAAGGGGTTTTTGATTGAAAAATACCTTAAATAATCTCTTTTATTTTTTTAAAGGATTATTTAAGTCATTTTGTTTAAAAGCGCCTTAAATAAATGGCATTTAAATAATAAGAGATGATTATTTAATGTATTTTTATCTAAAAATATTTTAAATAATCTCATTTAAAATATATTAAGAGATTATTTAAGTTATTTTTTTTATCAAAAAATACCTTAAAAATACCCTAAATAAGGCCATTTAAAAAATATAAGGGATTATTTGAGATATTTTTGGATTTTTATCTAAAAATATTTTAAATAATCTCATTTAAAATATATTAAGAGATTATTTAAGTTATTTTTTTTTATCAAAAAATACCTTAAAAAT